TGTAATATTCCTAATTTTTGTGCATATAAAAACATTGTTATTTTTGTCATTTTATGGCTCTCTGAAAAATCTCTCCTGGAGAAACGCTGCCAGAGACGCTAATAAAGGCCTTATGTAGCAAAATATATGTTTCTAATAACAGCCTTGGTAAAGAAACGGAAAGTGGAAATAAGCTGACATACTTTGGAACTGGATGGAAAAAGAAACAACCGTCCACACTGCTGCAAAACAATCATGGTTTTACTGCACTGATATAATCTAACCAGCCAGTTGTACTTGTATCTGCGAAGAGGAAAATAAAACCTGGGTGTTCTTATTTTCACTATATGCACATTCTCTACTGCCACTATGACCCAACAGCTTTATTATAAATTCACATTTTCCTACTTAAATTTCAATTCTATCATTTCTGGCTTGAATCGAGGACAGAAAAGGAACAGAGCGTGATTGGCACAAACCCTTCAAGAATCTTTCCCTCTTCCCGTCTAAAGGGAGAAAGATGGATAATCTGCACAAAGAAGGGTGAAAACCCCCCTTTTGAAGTCTGCTATGTTGTCAGGGGAATATTCTACAGTCTTTGTCAAAGTGAAAAGTCCCTGTCCAAGATGAAAGCAAGAGCTCTGATCAGAGGGGTCACAGCACAATCTTTCCCTCAGACTGTTGAGACACAAGGCGAGGAGACGGATCCGTTTTGACCTCTGGGCGGTTTCAGTAAGAAAACAATTGTGTCATTCGTACCTCCATGCGAACACAGGAAGTCGTCATTGGAAATAGGACCCGGCTCAGCAAAGGTCTTGAACTTGTTGAGCCACTGGCGGGAGATGTAGAACTGCAGAAGGCTGGGCTCCATCATGCTGAATAAACCCGACACCCTCCTACGTTCTTTCACTGCGTCCTCGTTGCTCTTTCTGTGACAGGAACAGACCACAGATGAATCATTGTCGCAACAGAGTAATCAAAAGTAAGATGCAAGTTATGAATATCAGAGCAGCACAGTGGAACCTGAAATGTTACATGGAGGACTGCGTCTAGGTCAGTGTAGCTACTCAAGTCTAGTGTGATAACTTACTTATAGAAGAGCACATAAGCTTCAGCGTTCTGGACACAGGATTCAGACACCTCGGTCACACTTTGGTCGTCAAATTCATACCACAGATTGTTCGCATCGTTCCTGCAGTAGGCTATGTAGTGGCCACCTGGGATTAGACGAGAGGGACGGCGTTAGAGCAGCATTCACAAACCTAACAAGTACATGTGAAATATTTCTCCACACGCTAATGAATGCAGGACACTCCTATGTGCCAACTGATGGCAGATGCACCAGTCTGATGCAGAAAGGGGAGCGACTGAGCCCACTCACTGCTGGCAGTGCCGTGGTGACAGATGACTGACAGCAGGTCATAGTTGGTGGTCTGGGCGGAACTGTCCTTGGCCAGGAAAGGCTGCAGATCCAAGCCCTCCAGCGGGAAGGAGACGTGGGTGCCGATCTTGGTAGAGAACATCAGTTCGTGTCTGAAGCGTTTCAAGTGGATACACAAGATCTGGAGTAAACACAAATAACATTTTATTTTAGAAATGTGTATGAAAACACAGAGGATTAAGAGTCTTTTTTAATGATACAAAGTATTAGAGTTGTCTGCATACCTCTGGCAAACTTTGCATTTTACAAAATTTTACTCCGTTTCGTAATCTAAGAGACAAAAAGACAAAGAAAATGGGTATTTATTTTTTATTCATGTGAAATCAAGTTTAATTTTTAAGGCACTGAAAATGCTGTACTCACTTCTTGCATTTTTCACAGCTGTACATGTTGTCTCCTGGAAAATAACAAACACCGTTATCAAGGCATCAGTCTCAGTGTTTGTGTTGGCAGAACAGATTTACACCCACTTGCTTACCCTTTAGTTCATCTCTGGCGAAGAAAGCTGCAAGACAATCTTGTAGCGTAACCACTGGACCCCAGAACCAACTAAACAAGAGCACATTTTGAAAAACAGGGCAAAGAGCTACAAATGCCTGGTGTGAAAATATAAATAAATATAGCTTTGATATCATACACACACACACACACACACACACACACCTCTTGATGTATTCCATGACGAAAGCAATCCAGCCCTGTGGTGCATAAGCTTCCCCGCAGGAGCCTGCTTTTACCATGGAGGTCTGGTGGGTGGAGGAGTGGAGCTTGGCCAGGTCTTCCTTCCCCGGGATGGGCAACGAGATATCCTGGAAGTTCTCCAGGGTCACAGAAACCTGCCAGACACAGAGCACATGCACAGCTATTTGTAAATAACCACATTTCAAAATGGGTCTTATTTAAGGATTTGTTTTCTTTCAGTGAATATTATGTTCAGTGCAGCATAAACATCACAATATGTGAAATAACTGAAATCTCCACAATCCTGTTGTGTGTAAAGAGAACTGACCCGATCACAGGTGAGGCACTGAACCGAGCTGACAATGGTCCCATCGAACACGTCTGAGATCACACTGCGGTATTTCTTCTGGCGCTTGTTCTTTGGTGGAGAGAATGTGGTCACTGCTGTGGAAGTCAGACAGAGGGAGAGAAACGTGAGAACAATATACACACTTGGGTAGTCTGTGTATTCTGAAAGAACAGTGCTGACCAGAACCATAAATTATCAAGCTTTTAGTTTAGATGTGACAGATTATCCAGAAATACCTTTCTTATGTGCAGGGTTTATACTGGGCCAGCCAGAGGCAGCTTTGGGTGGGCTGCTGGAGATTTTGGGAATGTGTCCCTCCATTGGGACTGGACTCTGAGGTCTTGTGGAGTTGGATATCTGGATGTCTGGGAAGGAATCTAAAGGGAAGCAAGGTAAATAGAGTTGTAATCCTTTATCTGTGCAGTAGCACTAGCAAAATTAAAGACAATATTAATATGATAGAGAGTGCAAGGGAGCGTGCTTCGTCATTATAATTACCTGATGTTCTGCCCTGAACCTTGATGGCTCCCTGGCTGCTGATAATAGGTGTGTTCTCTGTGGTTGTGTCAACATCTTTGTCCATGTCCCCTCCAGAGCTTCCACCCATGACACCATGAACTCCAACACGATACAGATCATTAATCATGTTCTTCTCCTTCTGCCACTCCCTGTTGGCCTGTATCTCATCTTGCTCCGGAATCAGCATCTCAGCCTCGTTGTTGTCTTCCACATGCACGTTCCCGCCCTGCACCTCGTTATCAGCGCGATCGCTGCTGCCGCAGGACTCACACGACTGGAAGTCGTCTGACTGACTGTGGTGGTCCTCCTCTGGGCTGTCGTCTACTGTGATGCCGTTGGACTGGTCATAGGGCTCAGGCAGAACCTCCTTCAGCTCCTCGTGGAGTTGATCCATCAAGCAGCGCAGAAACTCCTGGGAGTCCTGGAGAGCGGAAAAATATTTATTTTCAACCAGATGTCTTGAATAATTTTACTAATTTGGTCCTGTATAGAACTATAAAGTATAAAACAGAACCAATTCTTCCTACATATAATCAAGTTTGACAAACACAACAAAGCTTTTCCCAAAGATATTGCTTTCTGATTACAGGTAACAACCACTTCTTATTTATCCTAATTCTTCATCAGAAATCTGAACAAATGCTCGTGAACGTGTTATCAAACTTAATGAACCTCAGACATCCGATCTCCTGCTCAAGCCAAATGAACGCCCCTCTCCCAGGACCTGGAATGTTGACTTCATTCATAGTAATGCTAATTCCAAGGCTGTGAAGCCCAACATAGCGTGACAAATGAATATTCCTCAGCTAACTCCTCTGAATAAACACTGGCGAGCTGGGAGGAAACAGGCTCTTTTATCGTTTCACCAGTCAGGCATATAAATCCCTTATTTACTGACACTGGACAAAGACTAGACCTTCTGCAGCAAAAATGTCTTTTAAAATCCTTTATATGAACAAAGCATGAGTCTGGAATCAAACAGTTTATGTTTAATGTGAGAATTTGTGTGTGCATGAAAAGTCTGCAGCTCTGAGTTAGTGAGGGGCAAAGGATTTAAGTTTATGGTTCGAGCTGGAGTGAATGTAATTTCAGTAAAGGAATGAGCACTGAGGGCTATGGAGTGGAAAAGAAGACTATGTGATCTGGGACAACTTTATAATATGGACATTAGACCCATTAAAACCGCAGCTGAGCACAAAGTTAAACTCGAGGAAATGTTTCGTGACGAGCAAGTTTTTGTGTTTCATGCTGTACACAAACATCATAAATAAAGTAAAATCGATAAAATACTCATTGTTTCAGTATTACATTCACATTTACACAAAAGGCCGAAGCAAAAAATCCACATCATAACTTACTTTTCAAGGTATCAAAGTCACAATGTCAGTAGTTAATATTTAGCAATCTATCTATAATGCAGTTGTGTATGTATATCATGTATATTTTACCATCTGTGACGACTCACCTGCTGAGAATATCCCCTGAACATGGGATTTATGGATTTGATCCCTTGGAACAAGTTGGTTGGGACGACGTAGGAGGGTCTGTAATGTGACAATACACAGCCTGGTGAATAAAAGTATTGCCATAAACAATACCATAATACAGTTTAACATCATAGAGAGGAAAAATCTGCTTCTATAGAGATGTGAACTTATAATATCATCTGTTCTATTCACTATATCAGATGACATTCGTGAATTCTGAAGTAAGCTGTGGCTTGTGGGAAAACGTATATGTACTTTTAACTCAAACAACAACCGGTGCAACAAAAAGAAACCACCTACCTGTTCTTGTGCCACAGGTCTGAAACTAGTTTCTGGTAACTTTTGCAGAGTGCAGGTTTCTTGTCTGTCCTCACCATGCCACCACATTCAAGAAAGAACTGCGTCAACGGCGGGCTGCAGCAGAGAGAGGGTTGAATTCATCACATGTGGGGACGAAACAGGCTTTTACTATTATAATATTTGACTGAGGATTTATTTCTTGTTGAGAGAACTAGATATATATAATATATATATATATATAATATATTTTGGCGAGATTGTGTTATGTTGATAGATACCGGAACAAATGCTAATAATTTTAGAGTTCACACCAAACAGAAAAATACTCAAATGGAAAGGAGATCCAGATCCAGTTCAGCATTTCTACACAGTTCTGTATTTTTCATTTATTTCATTTCACTTGCAAAGTGAGAAAACTCCCAGGACTCTGGAAATCGCTGATAAAGAGAAACAGCTGAGGAGATTCTATTTGATGTATACAGAGCGGATTTTGCCAGAAAGAGACAAACTACAGGATGAACAAGGCATTGAGTGTTCCCTTCCCTTGGCGAGAGAAACGTCCTTCTAACGTATTAATGACCCGACAGAAAGTTGAGGAAGCATGTGTTCAAACAGAAACAACATCAAAGTGAAGTTTCAGAAGACGTCCCTCCTTCTGCAGCTGTGTGACTCACTTTCTCCTATTTCTGGAATGTGATTTAGATTGCAAATTTTGACCCACATCTTTCTCCATTAGGCTTGAATCCAGACGAGGCATCATCAGTTTAATTTAAAAAAAAAAGAAAAAAAAGATGCAGCCTCTGAGGAGAATAAAGTGCGAGATAAAGAGTAAGCAATAACACAGCTTCACACGCTGCTGCTGCTGCTGCTGAGTACCAATTTAAGCGACCGCACCAACAATCCAATCAAGAAGACTGAATCAGGTATTGGCAATTCAGTAAACAGCAACAAAACGAGGGTGAGTGGGAGAGAAAGGCACAAAAAGACAGGGTGAGAGAGGGAAAAAGAAAAGAGGAGGAGAGGGGGCATGGCAGATGGGGAAAGAGTTGGTGTTCATTTGTAACAGAAGACCCTACAGGGATCTACAAAAGGCCATTTCTGCCATCTCAAATGGTGCACTGCAGCAATTTTCACTCAGCCGTCACTCTCCCAAATGAGCACAGCCACGGTCGTTTCTCACAGTCAACCAGAAGCAGGCAGCCAGGGAATAAAGAATATAAAAAAAAGAGCAAATGGCTACTGAAGAGAAGCGCCTTGGAAGAGCAGAGTCACAGAAAGGGGGACGTGGAGAAGATATGTTGACAGAGGGACAGCGGAAAGGTAAACAGAGTGTGAGGTCTCACCAGTTGGACAGGGCCTGGAGGGCAGCGTTCATGTAGCAGGTGTTGCCGATGTTCTTCAGCCCCGTCAGGCCTGAGGGACAGAGAAACACACAGAGGAAATTAAAACCACTTACTCATCAAACTCGTGTGAATTTGATGGCAGGCAGGAACCATTTACATTAGCAAGACAACCCTTTCCATTTCTTTATTAATATTTTACAATGAGAGCAGAGAAAGTGGCCGCCTGATGTATTTTAAATCAACTATGATGGATGAAGTCAGATGTTGTTTTTCCAAGTAAAGCAGAGAAAAGTTATCCATCATCTCATACGCGGGATGTCAGAGTCGCGTCAGACAAAACACAGCTGGTAATATTAATGCATTTTCCGACTCCTACTATTAGGAAGTATAATGTTGCCAAGGAGTCAGTGAAGTTAGTTAACTATGGGATAAGCCTCAAGCCCTGTTTTTTTTTTTTTTTTTTTTACATTTTTTCAACTTTGACGTTTATAAAAGTATTAGCTCTTAGCAGGTCCGGTTTGTAATATACCCATGAGTGTCCAGACAATTATCCTTTTTACAGAGAAAACTTTAAAATGTGATGATTCTCAGGCAAGTTCTGCAGTCAGAGGGGGGGGGAGCAACTCTTTTTTTTTCTAAGAGGATTTATTTTGTGAGAGACACTGGGGGATAATCGTCTTCTCGGAAGCTGAAGGTCAGACTGAATCTAAAAATACGGGGATCATTTCTGCTGTAGTTGTTCAAATTTGACTGAGCTATGACTCGGTAGGAAGCAGCAGTCAGACTGAAAAACCTTAATTGCCCTCCATGAGGCATGTGTCACATCCGCTGCTGCAGCTCCAGTTGTTGACCACAATGGAGCAAAATCAGCCAAATCACAATAACTAGATTCACATCGGAGCGAGGCTTGCCTCTGATTTCACATGACCAGACGTTACTCTCACAGAGCCTAATTACTCCTCCTCCTAATCATATGATCCGTGTTACAAAAATAACCAAAAGCTGTGACTGCTGCCAAAACCACGAGCCGCACCGCATGAAGTTCAACATAGCATATGTCATTCGGAGAAGCCGGTTTGTATCTCACTGTGTTAGAAGACATTATTTGCATTGGATGCCTCCAGTGGGATTGAAGCTCTCAACACTGAAGTGTGAGCTGCACAGAAGCAGACTGGAGTTCTGCTGTGGAGTCACGTATGGTGCTCTGTAATTTCTTTGCATTTTTGTGGTATGGGTCTACTCAGCCGTCATCGGCAGCTCTTTGTGTTCCAGATGATGTTTCCGGATGTTGACCGGGGTCTCTGCGGTGCGTTCAAGAACAACTTTTAACACTTGAGGCGTCAGTTCCTACTTTGAAGTCTGCTTGGTGTGTCAGCGTCTTTTAAAACGCTCACTTCGATGCAACCGTTCTCTTATTAAATCCAACTACAAGCTTTTCTTTGAACTAAAGCAGCAGCTGATTACCGAGGTCCTGTGTCTGAGGGTTTCAATTTTAATTCTGTCACACTTCAAGATAACATCTTATTACATTTTATTCACCTCACTCACTTCAGAAGTATAAGATTTAAAAATGATAATATTTGAAAGAAAAATGTCTATTGCAGCAGCACTGAAACTCTAGATATGGACATCTAGCAAATTTAAATTTTTAAATTTAAATGAGACATTTATGTTCAAATATATGTATTGAATTGTTGCTGATATTTGTGGAAATAGCTGGTATTTGGTTTGTTGTATTGCAATTGACTGATTTTTAATTATATAATTAACTTATTCCTTATTTAAGCTCGTGTCATTGATGTTATTATGACGCACAACAATTCCTCTGCGTAAACTGACCTCTCGCCCGCCGGTCCTCCTCTTCCTCAGTCTCCATGTCCAGGTCTTCACAGCCTCCATTAGGGGGCACTCTCAGAGAGGTTGGGCTCCCAGGGGCCCTGCTGCTGTCCTGGAGGAACAACAACACACGCCAGCCTGGTCATAAAAAGTATTATCCAGTAAATTAATAACTGTACAACTTGACTGGGAGTTCAGACTGAGGGAATTTATCATTCAGTATATGACAGCATAGTTATGTAACTAAGTGATAAAATAGTAAGCATGCAGTGTAAACCTTTCTATTCAATCATCAGTCTGGCAAATAGAAAACATTCATGATGCTTTTCGTTGTTTAACTTCAAACCTGCCTCTGACTTAGTAAATAAATATATTTCAGCTTTAAACTGTATGTTTGATATAATCTGTAATAAACAGATGGGAGTCTGCTGTTACCTGGCCAGCGCTCTGTAGAGGGGAAAGGGGTTTGCTGTTGGCGCGGGGCGAGTGCGGACCGAGTTTTCGCTCCAGGAAAACCTCCTTGCCGCAGGCGTAGCACCACACCCGCAGCGTGGTCAGGTTCACCGTCAGGTTGTGCCGCGTCTCCTGCACACAAAGTTGTCAAAAGAAAAACATTTTGTGAATAGAAAGTATAAACAAAGTGAAACAAAAAGACTGTTAATATTTATCCCAGAACAGTTGATAAAGCACGTTTTCACTTTGTTATCAACAAGATGCTTTGTAATCTTAAACACAATCTTCCTATCAGTTTCTCATTAGTACATGTTGCTTTGGCTCTTATATAACAGATACACAGTAGGTGTGACTGCTCCTGCCTTGGTCTGCGAAACTCTTTTATAGTCTAGTTATTGACAGAAAAAGTGTATAAGAGGACTTCAAGTCTGAAAATTATAGAAAAAGAGAAAACCGCAGCACATATAAACCTCGATTCTATTGACAAATCTGATGATGATTAAGCCAATAATTTGTTGAAGGAAATTGGTCTCAAGTTTGTTGTGAAACTACTTGTTTAATCGTACCAAAGGTCCAAACATATTCAGTGTATCAAAACCCTTACAACAGAGATACTGGAACACGGCCATTTTTTTGTATTTGTGCAAGAAAATCAATTGAATCATTTTCTGTCGAAACTAGTGCAGACTTCTGCTGCTGTGTTGAAATGGTCGAGTTCTGCTGACCCACTGCTGCTGTGACAAACACCAGCAGCCTGGCAGGTCGACAGGAACCTGAACGTGAGCAGCTGCCGACCAGCAGACTCTACATTATTCATCAAGGCTGCGTAAGCCTTCACACAGAGGGGCACAGCCGAGCAGGGCGGACTGAGGGAACACACCAGACCATGAAACTTCCCCCGTTTAAATCATTTATGAAGGGAAGTACAGCAGGTAGGGGCATTAATAACAAGCTGGATTTATGGGTCTTAGAGGATGTTTCACCAACCCGCCTAATGTGTTCTATTACAATGAAGTGTGCTTTTACAGTGATACTTTATGGCAATTAATTTCACGTCTTGTTTGATGAATTGGTGAACATCTTACCTTAAACAATCGTAAAATTCGTGCAAAACAAATCATTAATGCTGCTTCTGCTGACACTCACACAAAGAATCAGGCTCATGATGTCATAAAACCTGTTTAATCGTGGCAGTGACTGTAACATTTATGTTCCTGGAGAGAAACAGCTTCAGTGTGCTGCTTTATCTGCTTTATCTGCTTTATCTTCTGAGTAAGAAGCAGGTGGGGTCTGGTTATATCTGTAATATAAAAAAACACAAGTCTCCCCTCTGGCCCTTACTGAACAAACTCAAATAACAAACACAGATTGCCACTAACCTCATTATTCAAATTCATGTAAAGCTGCTAAATAACTGGTCAACACAAGTGATATTTGAAGTGGAAAACAAGTCGGTGGTAATCTCAACACCCTTTGTCTGCAAAAACAGTAATGATTGTTGATTTGTTGATGAGGTTTACAGTTAATTAAATTTGCTTTAGAAGTTAGTTTTAGTGCATAATGATATTTGAAATACAAATCTATGCAAAAAATACTGTGTCCCATTTTCTAAGCATAGAAGTGGAGCTTCTTCTGATTTTAGCTGACCCAGTTTTACCTTATAACCCCACACTTGTCCCTCTTATCTGCTCAATACTTAAGTTCATAGCTTGAACAGCAGTGGCCCTAATTCCCATGTATTAATGCATCTGCTCTGATCCAACCCCAGTCGTTCTCACTGCACAGTCAAGAGATTAAAATGTTTCCCTCCCCTCAGGGCCTCCAGAGCACTAATTAAGCGTGGCCTTTATTCTTACAAGATTTAAAGATGGCTGCCACTGGAAAAACACAAAAGGTAGTTGGCAGGCTGCACAGATAGGTATCCCAGATATGGCACCAGATATCATATTCGCTGTGATATCATTTTAAAATGAGCCTGCTAATAATAAATGTCTTAGCAGCATGTTCTGTATCTGATACCTGTCTCATATCTTGGTGAAGAGCTCTGCTTCTGAGAAGGTTTGCACTTAAACAGGCTCTTTTTCAACAACACTTTGAGTATTTGTGCAGATGCTAATAAGAAGAGCAAATTACACGTTTGCTTTTTGTCTCCTTCACTTCGTCCAACCCGACTTGGCTGCAGGAAAAGCCTTAGTCAACGCTGAGAACACTGGAGGCTGAGTAAAGCTTTAGAGCAGTCAGTAGGGGCAGATACTGTAACCATGGAACTGACAGAATGGGTGTATCTCCCCCACTTCCCAGAGGAATGGCAATTAATAATGGATGATCCACTGCTGAAACGGCACTGAATGTGGAGATGTAGGGACACAGAGTTGCCTTGATGGTTTTTAACAATGCATGTCCTTAAAAAGCTAAAAGATGCACGTGCAGGCTTTTTAATCATGGAGAGAAAACTTCAAAAATAAAGCAGCGCTGGAGGCAGTTTTATTTCAGGGCAAAGCTCCAGGGACTATGAAGTGAGTCCTGTCCTTGACTCACATCTGTGCCTCATCTGCTTCTCTTCTTACACCTCCTCTCTTTTACATCTTTCTTCTGTTTTTAAATTCAGTATCACAATCAAGATTTCCTCCCTTTTAGTCCCATTCCGTCCACTCTTTTCTATAAATGATTTATCAGTTTCCTGCTGAAAGGAAATGAGTAAGTTCTTCAATCCCCTACCTGCGAGTGGACAGTACTGTGGTCAGTGTGAGATTCTCCACATCCTACATACGCACAGCCATTCTAGAGGAAAAGTTTGGAGAAACCAAGATGTTAAGAATTACAATTCCTGTGTTAGTGAGCAGTATTTCAAACTGTCTTACCTTTATCTTTATCTTAACTTTATCTTACCTCCAAACATGCCCACAAATTTGGTCCTCCAACTTTACAGTCTTGGCACTGGCCCTAGAAAAGAGAGAGGACACTCAGGTAAGAGTCACATCTTTTTGAAATTAAAATCAGCGAGACAGCACCAAACTTCAAATGCAGACAGGAAACCAAAGCATATCTGTGTCAAATTCAGACTTGGTGAAGTTATATTAAAAAAGCGACTGTTAAAAGACAGGGTGGACAGGGTCAAGAGAGAGGGTCACTCACATGGGATTTCTGAATCAGTTCCTCCTTGGTGATTTCCCCCACACAGTCCAGGTGGGGGCAGTCACAGCTAGACATCAGCGGCATGGCTCACCCACAAGTCTGAGAGAGAGGAAGTGGGAGAGAAAGAGACAAAATGAGACAAAAAACAGGCAGCTTGCGTTTAAGGTCAGGTGACTTCTTGTTATAAGAAATGTTATCAGCCCAGCATCAGATACTTGATACGATGATAGGAGACACTACACATCCAAGGAACAGCACAGAGGACAAGAAGAACAGCCGGCTGTAACTCGAGTCACCGCCACACAACATGTTTTTCCATGCCTGCACGACTAACAAATTCCTCTTATTATCTGCCCCTGATACACCAAGCAGCGCATCACGGCCACAGCTGTCAACAACTTGTGGCTCCAGCATCGTATGAATAGTTGGGTCATTAAAGTTTTTAGTGACACGGCAGCAAAATCAAGCCAACGCAAATGATTCAATACAGAACAAATATTCTGTAAACAAAGCCTGAGTGAATAAAACATGCTTATTCACAAAAATATAATTGCGAATCTAGAAAAGTCATATGACAATGAATGTATTTTGCAAGAAATATATAAATAAATTAAAACAATGACTAGTAATGCAGATTTTCTTCATTTTCGTGGTCAAATGAGGACATTTAATCCAGGAGAGCAGAAAATGCTGCAGAGTCCAGGCAGCGAGAAAACAAACTGTGTTCATCCTCTGCTACTGATACAGTCACTAGAGATGTTGAGGAACTAAACACAAATTCAGGATATTAATATGACAATTAGCTCCGTCTTGTAGTCCCACTTAAAATAAAGAAGAATTGTTCTGTTTGGTCCACAAAAGCCTGTTTCTCTGGAGCAGCAGCCTACACAGGTATAACGCTATTCAATTTCCCACAAGTCAGTTTTTATACCACTATGATCTTTTACCTTAGGAATAAGGATTATGTACACAAAACTTAAAACAGATGTATTTCTAGTCATGGCTAGTAGTCTTAGGGATGATGAAATTCATACATCTACCTTAAATGGCTGTTACTTTTAATTATTTATCAAATATGGTAATAGATTAAGTATTACAGCTCAAATGGTTGCTTCCAAAATTTCCCTAATACTCAAATACCTAATAATTCAAGAAAAGACTTCATCAGATTACCTTAAATTCTGTAAGACTGACATTGTCTCCTTTGGTACAAAGCCCTGTTGTACTTTTCAGCGTGTATGAAAAGAGGAAGCTGGGTAGCCCTGTACATTAGTCTTACAGTCAACCACTGGTGCTTTCTATAATCAGGCTTCTTGAGAAGGCTGCGGTCCCATCTCTTCCACTACAGGAGCAAGGCTCACGTGGTGACTCAGTTAGCCCTGAGGGGAGCAGGGGATTTACTTGCAGAGTGACAGAGGACGTTGTGAATTAATTGCAGGAGTCAGTTAATAATTCACTCTTTATTGATAGTATCCTAAACGAGTAATAACCCTCACTGATCTTAACGACCACTGTCTTTCCCTGGCTAAACTATCTGCAGACCTTAAACTTGAGATAACAAAGCGCCTGCTGACGAAAAAAGAACTACATCATTGAATGTAAAACCGCTTCGCCCACAGTGGACACACCATGTGTGGCTCTGGCTGGAGGTCGCACAACGACATTCAGGCTTTCAACCATGTGTTCAGGTGTCTGCGCCATGATGACAGCAGCTCACAGCTCTGTACTGTGATTCAGCACATTTAAACCACGCCAACATCGTAAATACCACTTGGCCTGGGTGTTGCCACATACCAGCCTACTTTAGACCACGGGGCTGGCTTGACAGGACACATATGAGACAGCTGACTACAGATAATGCACAAAGAGATCACATATCTTTACGTTTGTGATCATTTTAATTTAATTCAAGGGTCCATTCATTATATCTGTTTGCAGACAAAAAGCACTGAACGGAGCTGCAATATTTAGTCGGTCAATCAATTGAAATAAAATTAGCTTGCAACAATAATATTATATTATAACTACATATTTGATGATGACACATTACGAACATGCTGCATTTCGTGTTCTTACATTGAAGTAAATTTAATATTTTGAGATTTGTGATGTTGGTTGAGCTAAACAAGAAGTTGCGCTTCAGGATATTTTGATGGTTGTTTCTCAATTGTCTGCTGCTGTTTCATGAACAATTAATCAAGTAAAGATGAAAAGGCATACATATCATCCATCCACAACCTAACAACAGATCTACTGGGAGATCATCATCAACGCAGGAAGAAGTCAATCCTCAGTCAAGTTCATGTTCAGCCTTGCACAAGTTGCACACGTGTTTAATAATCAAACCATCTTATCAGACTGGAATCGAACTCTACACAAAGTAAACAAACCCACCGAGTCTCGTAGGATCACATGCAGGTTGAACCAGGCTGCTGTCGTGGTGGAGGCATCTGTTCAAAAAGTCAACAAACTCACTGTGAGCCTCAGCAAACGATTACTACGATCACAGCCAAGTACTACGCACCAGGAAAATCTGATTAGCCGGTGGTTTCACTGTCAAGCCTCCAGCGACGACGCAAAGAAAACAAGACCCGAGTGTTTCATCCTCACAAACCATCCTCGACCTTTCACTGTCCCCACAACCCACACGATGACTCTGAATTATGATTGCAACAACAACAATGAGGAAGATTTGAATCTGCACAAAGAGGTACAGTCAGTCAGGGTGGGGCAGAGCAGCCACTGTTCATGAGGCCGATATGATGCCATGTTGGTCCGTGTCAGAGTTGAACCCAGCAGCTGAAACACTGAGAGATATAAACACAGAAATAAACATGACACAGTGTCAGCCCAGGTGTCTTTGTAGCCTCGATTAGCAAGAAGCCCATTAGCCGTTATGTTTAAAACGCAACGTTACCTTGCAGTCGAGGCTCAAATGTGACGTGTTCGAGAGAAACACAAATATCCCACCCGGGTTCAAAGATAAGTATCCGGTGTATCCAGAGGTGCAGGAGCCGGGGTGGGATCCAGATGTGCGGCTTTGGCCTCCACTGCTCAGACCGAGCTGTCAAAACCAGGCGAGGCGCTGACAGCGTCACGGTCCGACTAGCAACCTTTAGCTGCTAGCGTTAGCTCGCTGGCGTGACCGGTCATGTAACGGGTCTCTGGTTCCGCTCGCAGGCTACAACACCGCTAACAGCCCCCGGGGGATCACGGTGCAGGGGCTCGGCTTCACAAGGACGCCGCCGGGGGGGAGAAATAACTCGCCAGCGATAACCATCTCGCCAGCGACCATGCTAGCTCATGCTAACCAGCTAACTGTGCGCTACACGACCGCCCCGTCGCTCCCACTGCGACTGCAGCGCTTAGCTGGCGTGGACAACATCACGACACCCTCGCGTCTTACCTGGAGGACGGAGAGACACGGAGGCTGCTCGCGTGGTTCTAGTGGAGCTCGGGGACAAGGAGGCGGATTCAGGCCGAGCTCGGAGACATTTCTCTGGGAGGAATCCTTCACTTTACCGATCACCGTCGCTCAGCGTGGTTGCTAACGTTACAACTGTCTCCGCCCCTTTCCGGTGTAAACCCTTACTGTGTAATCTCAAATTCATTTTAAATCCCTTTATACTTATATATAATAATGATTATATAGTATATCACAATGAGCTCAGTTATGCAAAACCAGTGATTAGATATTAATTACGTTACAACAAATGCGTAGTAAATGTGTATCATAGCAATGGGACTAATATGAAATAAGCCACATTAGTCTCTTTAGAATATTATTAAACGCAATCTGCGTATTTATACTTATTCATAAATACAATTTCTCTATGCTTTTATATTACATTTTTATTGTATTGTTTATTTATTATTCTTTCTTGCTGTTACTTGTGTTTTGACATCCTCTATGTGCCTGGGAATTGTCCTCTGGGGACAAATAAAGTTGAATATGATATATGACATTTGATAAATGATATGTGATGTGATATTGTTTTAATTCTTTTACTGCACACTGTATGGTGTATATTGATAAATAAAAGATATCAGGGGGGACTTTTAACTCTCCAACCATTAATCTGAGGGATTGCTCTGATCTTTATTATTTACAAGACAGCCCCACTTTACTTTTAGTGCCCAAAACATTTGCACAGTGGTCCTGGGATGACTAACTTAATGTACATGAACCTTAAGAATGTAGATTATATTACATAACATATTGTTATTATAAGATAATAACGTGTTATATGTGTAATATTTGAGACAGCCATGAGGGGGCGCAGCAACTCCGCAGATTCAACCACGCGCGTGCTTTTATTTTGAAATTCAAGCTAGACGGACGCGTGCTGCGGCCGGAGTCCTTCACTCTGCCGCCGCCGAGGTCAGCTGGAGGAGCCGGCGAACCACCGGCGAACACCGGAGCACACAACCCCGGAGGAAACCTCCAGACTCCCCGGTGAGGACATCGATGCTCTCCGATCGACACGTTCAGATAAAAGTCAGAGTCTCTCTCAGTTTCATTCAGGACGAATAACGCTGCTAGCTGTTATTAGCCTCGTTAGCTAAGTTGGCTATTAGCTGCCAGTTGAGTTGAGAGCTGTTTGATTTCATGATGAGGGGCTTTGATCTTTCACTGTTTCTGCCCCTGATCTTTTATTTTACTCTGTAAACGCGTCGTGAAGTTACTGAGACTCATTCATTTAATGGAAAATATATTCGGAGTTGTGTTAATGAATTACATTTATGAGTGAATTCAGTTATTTCAGTCAGAATAATGTTCACAAGATAAGATAAGATAAAACTTTATTGATCCACACACTGGGGTTGTTACATCAGCAGGTCAGAATAAGGTAGACAAGAGAATACAGATATTACAAAGTGAATAAAGACTGCTGAGTATGTTCATTATATACACATTTCACTGTAGTGGCAGTGACAGTATTTTTGTTGCAATGAGTTTTAAACAGATTTCTAGCTTTAATTCAGACTTTAAGAGATGTAGACATTTAGTAAGGTATAAATATCGTATCCCATCCTATGTCATTTAATCTGTGCTTCTACAAATCCCAACGCAAACTATTCCTTCTGACATATCATAATATCATTCATGTTTACTAAATCCAATCAGGGAAATGGAAACGTTAGTATTTGAGGAGACTCACTGTGAAGTGACTTGATGAACAACACGGAATGTAAAAGTTGTGTCAGACCTCAACTGGGATAAACCACCATGTGACGATGAGGCACATGAGCGTCCGGTGCAAACTTAATTGGATGTTGCATCCGACCGTGTCAGGTGGACACGCAGCAGCTTAGAAGGTGCAGAGAGGAGTAAACAATGTTGTACATGCAGAAAGAAAAAGCCTGCGATTTTCTTGTGTCCCCAGACGGCCACATTCTTGATGTTTGAAATACCTGCGGTGGGCGTGCTGACGGTCCTGTAGCTCAGTGAACGACTCACACGTCCCCACAGGAATTTCACATTTTATGTCATCCTGTTTTTGTGCGATATATAAAGTATGTGGTGGATAAGCCTCGCTGCACGGTGCCACTTGCACACACTGTATGTCAGAGGCTTTATGTAATAATGTGATTATATCCCCTCCTGAATCTCCAAGGTTAAACCCTTGCATGCAACTCACTCCTGTCATCCTCTTCAGCTCCAGCAGGATGGTGAAGTGAATGACAGACTTGCCAAGACATGGATAGACCGCCACAATGACACATGAGACCCTCACATGCTCCCAGCTGTCTGTCAAGGCCGCTGCCCTGCGCATGGTTAACCTGCCGATGTCCGTTTGCAGCTCCCTGGCACAGGTTGGTTCTGTGTGTGGTTGAAAGTGGCAGGTGTTCCTGAGCAGTTTTCTCTGGTGTCTGCCTCTGGGTCATGAGAGGGGAGGTTGTTGAGGGGGACAGTTAGATACAGCTAAAGATTTGCAGAATCACACTCTCATTACGTAGTGGAAACTTTACTATATTATATTATATATATATTATATATTAACTATATTTTGACCTTCTGACAATAGTGAATGATCATTATTAACAGATCAACACTGTCTCCATCACGGCCGATGTTTTCGTGACCTCACAAAACATTTACTGAATAGACTTTGGTCATTTGCATTGTTGGGTTTCGGAGTAAAGAACCTTTTCCATAGATGGAAATCTATGCAGTTTGTTTAGGATGTAGCACGCACACAAATCAAAATCAAATTTAAAAACTGAAAAGTAAAATTACAGTTTGAAAGTATGCACACAAAGTAAAAGTACATTGAACAGCTCATGTGTTAATGTAACATAATTTCATATTTTCAGGTAAAATCATCATTTTTTTGCTGGTTTCGTGTCTGTCAGGATGGTAACTGGTATTTTCCCTTGAGTGACCCCTGTGTCATTGTGTTTATGAGTCGTACGTGACGAGAGTGTGTACGTGTGTGTGTGTGTGCCCAGTGTCAGGTAGCGGATCTGATGTCATTAAGAATGTGGTAGGAGCATGTCTGCTGTTTGTGTGTGTGTTTGTGTGGTCGCAGAAACCCTGCAGGCCTGAAGCATCATGTAATCACTGCTTTCTATTCAGTGGCTGAATATAAGTCAATATTATGTTTGTTGTCACAGCTCCAAGCTGAGTGTTTATGTAATCTTTATTTGTTGGGAGCGTTCAGCAGCGGTGTCTGTGGATAATCTCCTCGTCAGTGTTTCTATGTATAGTCGAACAGGGGCTCTGCACGCTATCTGAAACCAAAATCTACATGACAGGCTGGACGCTGATTCTCAGAACTCACCAGTGTCATTTATATTTTGAGTTCCTTCTTCAGTTAAACTCTGCACTTAATGTATTTTCATCCATAATATCTTTCCCCAGCTTGTGCTGTTTGGTCATCAATGTTTGAATCTCCATTTTTAACATTTCATGTTTATCTACCGTTCAGGAGGATTCCTTTTTAAAATGCATAAATGTCTTAACTTCTACTTCTTCCTCCAGGTGAGTGTCAGCACAGGAACTAAGAAGCTGGTGGCAGCCACTGCATTTGGTGCCTTCTCGCTCCTCTTCCTCGCACGACGCTTCCAGAGGAGGAAGGGTAGAAAGAAGGCTCTCTCGCCTGAGTGGGAGCGAGCTGGGTTTGAGTTCTTCTCCCCAGCGTTGGCAGAGAACGGTAAGACTTCCTGACACTGGTCTTTTTTTCTACCTTCAACGAATGACTGGGTTTAAAGATGAACCACGTGTCAACACTTTCTCAGTCTGTAGTGATCGTAAACAGACCTCATGTACTGTGGGATTTTGTTCATGAGATAGTTTAGAGTTACATTCATTTTTGGGAATTTCCCCACTTCTGTCAGACAGAAGTTATAAATCTTCAGCTCGGATCTTTTATGTTTTTGCGTTAGAACATCTTGCCTCACTTGTTGTGTCCATGGGATCAAATAGTAAAACCATGATCATGTATGCTTCCAGAAACTGAGTGAAACGAGACAACTAAACTTATTAAGGGGGAGGCTTATTCCAAGCTTTGTCTGAAGGGACGCCCACACTCTTTGACTTTAAAAACTCCTGGTTCAATTCATTTAATCTCCCGTAGGAAGATTTATTACCGATTAGACATTTAGGATTAGATTGAATCATGAGCCAGTGACCAGCGTAAGTAATTCTTTGGAACGTAATAGATTCTGGAGCGTTGGTGACTTCAAGTTCACACAGCCAGTTCAGTTTTTGTAGTTTCTCGAATTTTTCTCGTCTTGTATTATGATTATCTTTATAATTATCCGATGCAACAAACTGGTCTGGGTTTAACAACATGAGTGTGCAGGTAAATTATTAAAACAAGGTGCAAGTGATTTAAATCAGTTGTTGTATTGAATCAAATCAGCAGACATGGCTCATCCATTGTGTCATCCTGCTACATGATCATTGTATTCTGATCTTTCTCTTAAACATTATCAGTAAACTCTCTCGTCTTTATCTATCCAGATAACACCAGTCAGAACATCACCCTCTCCCTCAACTCCAAGAATGGCTACTCCTCTGGTCTGGTCCTCACCACAGGAGATTACCGGAAGCTGTCCGGGTCTCTGCTCAGTTTGGCCTCGGTGAGACAAAAGCACAGGTTTATTATGAAGCGTTTGTTTAAAGATTTATATGTGTGATCATAGCCCAAGAACATAATTACACATAAATACTACATCACATGAAATACTGCTCCCGGTGCCTGCAAGTGAAATATGGTGGTTTGTTGTCTTTACAGGTAAAAAGCATGAACTCGTCGAGCAGCAGCACCTGTGCAAACGAATCCATCTGCTGGGACAGAGTGGGGGAAGCTGACATCTGCAGTGTCGTCAACTTACCAGTCACCACACCTGAAAACCTGTACCTTATGGGTAAAAACACACACGCACCACATTACCTCTAATAAATGTGTTGAAACGATGGAACTATTTGGCCCCTCTGTTGTAATGATCAGTGTTTCATTGTGAGATGTGTTGTGTTTGCAGGTATGGATCTGTTTGAAGAGGCTCTGGGGCGGTGGGAGGAAGCGTTGACATTCAGGACCAGGCAGGCCGAGGACGACGAGAGTTGCGCTTCGGTGAAAACGGGGGCTGGAGACGCCATCGCTGAGCAGGGCATGGAGGTGAACACACAGAAACATGATTAAACAAGTCGGCGTAATGAGTCAAGACCCACTCGAATGTCCTGCGTATATACTCTGTTGTTTTACACCAGAGGAAGGATCAGAGGAGCAAATCTCCCACAAACATACATACGAATAACTGGCACTCTGACAACCCACCCGTGTCACAGAGTTTAGATTGTATAACTCGTTTGCTCTGAAACCCAGTGGGAAGGGTTTTGGATTAGTGAGGGTCAAGCAGTTAAGCCTGGGCACCCAAACAGTCGTCCAGTCGGCTGCCTGGTCCTGGAGGATATCCCCTGCTTCTGGGCTTCCTCGATAAAGCTCATTAAAAGACTGCGTCGAGGGGGATTCTCAAAAAAGGAGCTGAAGAAGATATTTGAAGTAAGATTTCTTCATGTTTCCTCGGCCCCAGCCCAAATAACTACATGCATACTTTTAAATTAGGTTTCAGTTAGTTGGGAACTTAATTGTCCAAATGCCTCCGCCAAGGCCCAACAGTCCCTTCATGAAACCACATCTAATTTCACTAGATCAGTGCCTCTACTCCATCCTTCCACCAAGTTTCCTGGTAATCCATCCTGTGGTTTTTGCATTTTCCTGCTGACTAACAGACAAACAAACAACCGCGTTACCTCCTGGAGGAGAGAGCAAGAAGGACACTCCTGGATCCGCCCATTTATTCAGACTTCAGTGGGTTCCTCGTCGGGTCGTGTCCCGCCCCTCCACCAAATTTAGATCGGTTCTGTGGTTTTTGAGACGTAGTTACTGGTTTCTCCTGTTTCAACGTGGTTTGATTCCTGTGGAGCAGGAGAACAACATTCTGATCTGAGCAGAGACAACACCCAGGTTTACAAGTGATCAGTGAGAAGAGGTCGATCAGTAACTTTTAAATGTTTGCTGCTTAATATTGTTCTGATGAAGTTGATTAGTGAAACTGTGCACTGACCTTTCCATTCATCATATTGAAGTGTTTTAAGATTTCTAAGTCACGTTTCTCTGGTTCACCCTGATTGTCTTTGTGATCAGGACGTCATCAGTGCGGAGTTCATCCACCGGCTGAAGTCTCTGCTGCAGAGAGCCTACCACCTCCAGGAGGAGTTTGAGGGAGTGTTGGGAATGTCAGAGTCTTCATCCCACAGCAACAGCCAGGGTGAATCACTGGTGCAGTCTTATATAATCTTTCACGACCGACACAGAGGAATAAATATATAAACACAGTACCCTCTCGTTGTTTCTTAAGGTTGAAGTTTATCTCAGTGTTGGAATGCTTTACTAATAATATGATGCATTCAAACAGGTTAGTGGAAATAATCTTTCTCCTCCTCAGATAAAATGACAGACATTTTGGGCCGAGACGAGCTGGACGACGTGTTTCTCAGAGACAGTATGAGCATCGCCTCCACAGACTCATTCGTCTCTGCTGCGGAGGTAAGAGAGAATTAACACAGTCCGCAGATCTTCTCCTCAAGTGTCTCACGTGCAACGCAAGAACTTTGACATGGTTGAGAAACGTTCTGTGAGTTTAAAATGTTTTCTATACAAAAAAAGCTATTACCACTGGCACTGTAGTTACTATTACCTCTGTTACGATAATACAAATGTAGAGGTGTCACAGCTGAAGAGAGAAGGTCAACACCTTAATCTCAAAGTGTCTGAACCATTAGGTGCTCGACTGATCCACAGCAGGAGTTTGTTTAAATAGCTCTGAGCTTCCTGTAGATTCACCAGGTTGTGTTTACCAGCCCTCAGCTCATCTCTTATACTCAGTAAGTCACCGCGGGGCCTCGAGCTGTGGATCCACTGCGACCGGTGCACTTGACCCACAGAGGACAAGAATAAACCGGAGCTTAAGAACGCTAAGCACAGGCGTGTTTACCTTGAACTGAAACGTTCAGACAAGTTCAAGATGCTGTGAATCTCTACCTGGGCTGGGTGTTAACACGTTCAGTGCACGTTACATCTAGAAAAGGTTCAGATGAAGATACTCAAACCCTCAGACTTGCTGTTTCCTGATCAGTGAGTGTGAGGTGCAGCTCTCAGCTTTAAAACTGGATCACTTAAACTCAGTGAGTCACTAAAAATAGACTGTTACATTCCTCCATCAGTGCTCATCGTGCACAGCTCAGTGTTGCTATAACCTACAAACAAGTCTCAGGTCGTTCATGGTCAGAAACTTTTTACAGCAGCTTATTCAGAACTGCGACAGGAAGCTTCTTGTCTTCACATTGTCTGAAACAAAAATATATATAATAATATATCTGTCAAGAAAAAGAACTTTGAATTCAGGAGGGACGTCATTTCTCAGATCTATATTCACTGTGCAGGTCACACCACTCGACTTGCTGTCATGTGATTAGGAATCTTGCAGCAGTTGAGACTTCATACTACACTACAATCTGGCAACAGGGTGTCACACACTACATGAGCTTTCACACTAGTACATCTGGTCTCCCCCCCCCCCCCCCAAAAAAGTCATTTGGCTTCTATCTTCAAGTGGAAAATGTGGCTTCATATCATGTAGTCTGAACCAGACATCATAAGTTTTACTGTCAGCTCAGAATTCAGCTTCTCTATATTTTTGTAATATAATGTAATTGTTTTTTTAAATGATCATTATTTGGTCATAAACATAACTTTCTGTTTGTCTCTGTGTCAGCTGACGGAGCACAGGGAGCTGAGGAGCGTCTTCGCTCTGGGCCACCACTCGTTCTACGACGAGGCTCTGGAGATGGCTGAGGACGGAAAGATTTCCTGCAGAGTGCTGCGGTAAATTACACCTGTCATTATAAAACCCATGAAACACAGAAGAATACCAGCACTGGATGTTAATCTGATTTCTTTTCTCATTTTTCATTGTCAGGACTGAGATGCTGGAGTGTCTTGGGGACATAGACTTCTTGGCCAAGTTGCACTGTGTGCGGCAGGCGTGTCAGGTACAAACAGACATATTATTTTACTGTCAAGTGTGTTTTCCAGCTGTATTTGGGGATATTCTATATTCTATATTCTTTTTGTGTTGGAAATACAGTTTAAAGGGTGTAAATACAAACAGAAGTCATAGTTGGCATTTAAATCTGACATTCATTGTATTGTGCTACTTCACCAAAACATCACGTTACACAGTGAGAACCACTAAACTCACAGAGACTTGTGTGTTGAGTTTATATTTCTAATTCAATTTTAGCTCAAAAAGAATCAGTTTAAGTAAAACACTGTTTTGTCTCCAGCTCATTTTGTGTGAGAGAAAGACCAGGATGTTTCTGACCGACACAGGAAAGAAGATCCTGTCGTCCATTATTGTAAAAGCACAGAAGGTGAGAGTGAAGCCACTGATGAAATAATCCTCCGTCATCCATGAGTCGTTCCGCTCATAACGTTTTACCGTCTGGTCTCCAGAGCCCAAGGAGATTTGAAGAAGTATTCGAAGAGATGATTTGCTTCCTCGAGCAAACGGAGCACTGGGAAAACACCGAGGTGGAGCTGGCCACACGAGGAGTGAGTGAAGTGTTTCAGCTTCTCCACCAGTTGAAGTCTTGACTTTTTACTTTCCAGTCTCACGACCAACCAATTTCCTTCTCGCTCCCACCAGGTGAAGCATTTGAACTTCTACGATATCGTGCTGGACTTCATCCTGATGGATTCCTTTGAGGACCTGGAGAATCCACCGGTCTCTATCCAGAACGTCATCAACAACCGCTGGCTCAACAGCTCCTTCAAGGAAACCGTGAGTGAACTTAAATCTGAACTAAAGAGAGAACTGGAGAAGATAAGTTGTGGTTCCAGGTTTTACTGAGAAACTTTTATCGTTGAGGCCGCTCAGCTTTTTCCTCTTTAATTTTGGTTTGTATTTGAAAGGCGGTGGCATCAAGCTGTTGGTCAGTGCTGAAGCAGAAGAGGCAGCACATGAAGGTACAAGTCCGACACCTTCACAGTGTTTTCTAGAGCACTTTCATGATCGCTGGAAGAATCTGTTAATCTCAAGACCCTCAGTCCGAAACCCGTGTTTTTAATATTCTCCTCTGTCTCAGGTGCCGGACGGGTTCATCGCTCATTTCTACGCAGTGTGTGAACAGATCAGCCCCGTCCTGGCCTGGGGCTTCCTGGGACCCAAGAGCTCCCTGCACGACTTCTGCTTTTTCTTCAAGGTCAGTGCTTCTTCTATATTTACAGTGAGTGGGTCAGGAACACACGACAACTCCCAGATCCACGTTCTACATGTGGAGTTTCCATGTTGACAGTTTGATATGACAGCTGCCAGGACATGTTCAATATATCATATTATCTTAATAATATGATATATCTCAAATACCGATAATAATAATAATAAAAAAACAGAACTCGACCTGTTGATGATGAATTTAGATAAATTCGGCTACTTTGCTGCAAACGAGTAACTTTGTGGATATTAGAAAAGATGAAGCTTCTTCGTTTTTCCCTCAGGACCAGGTGCTGCACTTCCTGAAGGACATTTTTGACCTGGACAACGTGCGTTACTCCTCCGTGGAGAGTCTGGCAGAGGACATGCTCCACCTGCTGCACCGCCGCTCCGAGCTGCTGCTCGCCTACCTGGGTGCTGACTCGCTGCGGCACGTCAACGGCTGCAGCTCCCCGCAGGTGCAGCTGCTGCCCGGCGCCCTGCTGGAGGCGGGAGTTCAGTGAGAGACGGGAAATATCACCGCATTTATTTACACCACCAGTCGGACCACAGAAACCTGTCGGAGAAGAAGCAAACACATGGGAGGGTCAGAGCCCAACAGTCTCTTGACTTTACCCTCTGACGTGACGTGACCTCCACCCATCTGGTCCATACATCTGGTGAAACTAAATATCTACTGTAGAATTTAACGTTAAACACATTTCCCATCATACCTTGTGCTCTCATCGCTCTGTATCTGAGGATCTTCATAAACTGAACCAGCTGTCTGCCTTCACACATGATCATTAACTCCAGCGCGGCCTCTGTCCTCTCCATCAGTTCCCACTTATTTCACAGCAATAATACTTAGAATTGAAACTCGGCATTGGTTCTCCAGCAGTAGATATTTAGGTGTATTTGCTGCTATTAAGAGCAATTTATGTGAAGAAAATAAAGGTATTTATTTTATTAAACAGCTAAATGACGCAGGGTTTATTTTTTAGGAATTGTAGTCGTGCCTGTACGCGTCGATGGATCAGCTTCAAACATACAGTGGTTTGAGTAGCACAGCTGTAAACTGAACTTCATAAGATATTTATTAGATGTATTTCCACATCCTACTGAACATCATGAGAAGCTATTAAATGCACTTTGCGTTTTTGTAACAAGCACACGCTGCCCAGAGAAATTACTTATAAAGGGAAACAGTTTGAGTGTGGACCGGAGAACCTGCAGCCACAGACCATGATCCATCAGCTACAGGAAATTAAACATCACTGTTTCATAACCGTCCGGCTGTTTATCAGCCTGTGCCCCTCCGCTCTTCACGACGGGCAAAGACACAAGAAGCCTTACTGTCGATGCACATATTCAAGCCTTCATCCATCACTGAATGTCCGTCTGAAGTTTATTTTCCACTAACGTCCGCTCTGCTGTTCACTCACTGCCATGTACAGAACATGCACCACACGACGGCTTGGAGCAGTGGAGTCACTGCAGGACTACATGTGTCTATTCTGAAACAGTGTGAATCACGAGGTGAAGGACGACCCTCGTGTGACCGACACGGTCGGCTGTCATCAGCCCTTTCTGCGGGATTTTCCTCTGACAAGATGAACCTGTCTTTAACAACACTCACACACTGACAGTGAGTGATCACTGAAACCATTTCTTTCTAAATTACCTAACAGCCTCTGTCAAAAAAATTATATTAATCACGCGAGGCTCAAAAAATCTTAAGACAAACAAATTGATTTTCTTCCAAAGTCGAGTCTTTTCACTTCAGAATTGTTTCTATGGACCGAGGTGAAATCATCCTTCACTTATCACAATTGTGTTTCAGCTTTTCTCAAAAAAAAAAACCTGCACAACAAATTCTCCATAGAACTTCCTCTCATTGATGTGGGACATCTTTTTGACTTTCTCTCAGAAGCAGCAGCTCAGAGGAAACACCACAAGGCTTCACTTTGGAAGAGACTCGCTTGTTTAGTTAACTTCTAGGTGCATTTCTGAAAAGATTGAATTGATCCCCGTGTTTAATTTGAGTCACATGTGAGCGTGGTTTAAGACGGGCCGTCCTTCATTTCGTCAGGAAATCATGTGACACATTTGTGACCTCACCTTGTATCGACAACACTAATAAATATGTTCTGTGTTAAATGAGCGGTTGTTGCGTGATCTAATGAAATGCATGAGTCACGTCTGTTTAATACAACTTTATTGATGAACATGGCAACATGTTAAGTCAGAACAGTTCACTGAATAAAACAAACCAATAAATTGAATATACACAGCACATGAAACCTCTTTACCTCTAAGGCATGCTCCTTGTTTAGTCTTCTACACCCACTCCAACTCTGTGTTGAAACACTGAGCATCTGACACGTACAGAGTGAAAAGCCTCAAATAAACACATGTGACCTTTTAAACTACAGAGAAAAGTTGTTCATACCCCAAATATTACTCCCAGTAGAAACAGTGCATATGTTATAGAAAATGTATTAAGTTCCTGTCCTCGTCCAACTTTCTACCCCACACCCGTTCACTTAATGTTACTAATGCAAGCATTCAAGCAGTTAACCATCAGACAGCTCTAAATACACTATGGCATGGTTTAAAGAGAGAAATCATCCGAGAAACATGAATCTGACCAACACTTTTGCAATCACAGAATTTTAAATTTCAATGCGTTGCTGGGTTTTGTTTTTTTGTTTTTTTTTTACCTTATCACCGGAGCTCTGACTCAAAGGATTCCTCCTTTTTGTGGGGGGGAGCAAACTACGACAGGGCCTGACTCTACGACCTAAGCCTGCAGCGTCCTCCAACACTGTGAGCGAGAAGTGAAGGCAGCAGCGTTTCAATAAGAGATTTTGCACTGCACTTTGAGGGCAGATTCACACCACGACAGGAGAAATAGGATATTAAAAAAATAAAAATGAATCATGTGTTTCACCGTTCAGGTGAAAACCTAACAGCTCAGGACATGGCTAACGTCTGGCAACAGGTTTGCATGGCATGCAGTTTGTTACACCAGGGTCAGAGTTGACTAAATCATTGTACAATCGCTATCAGACTTACCAGGAATGCAAACATAAGGCTATCATCATCATTTAAAGCACATACGATAAAGACATTTCCTCAGTTAATCTACACAACAGCTTTTTTTCTGATTTGTTGAAAAGTCAAACTTCATATGTAACAAGTCATACAAGTCACGTCATGCATTTCATTCATGAAGGCAGATCATCTTTCTTTTTAAAAGAAATAAGGACTGTTCAGACTTTCAAAAATATCTTTACGACTAAGCATGAATGCATTGAAGGCATGTTAACGACACAGGTAAGCATTTTCTTTGCATGTCATATTGGTCATGTCACTGAACAGAAACACTGGTTTCCTTAGGTTTCGCTTACCTGTGTTTTTGCGGCAGAACCTAAGGTGCAAGGTCAGGGACGACACTGCAAAGATCAGATATCGCACTGTTTGCCATCAGTGAACAATGCAGAGATTGTTTTGACTTTTTAAAAAATAATCAACAGCCTTTCAACATCAGAGCTCATTCAGAATAAATGTCATCATCAAAACGGAGCTACTGAGAAACACTTCCGCTACTCGCATCATTCCACATGCTCATATAGGACATTGAAGAAATAAGAGCAGAAACCTAAGCATGCTACACTGGATATATGCAGTGGGACTTGTCTAAGCAATATGTTGCAGTGAATGGCATTTCTTTTTAAAAACATGAGTCTCGACTAGACAATGGCACTTGGCAGGGTCAGAAATGAGAAACCACATGACATCCTTAAACAGTTCCTACCAGCAGTGAAAAAAACTGACATTCAAGCCTCAGAAATCCAACTGGCACTGAAAATGCTTCCTACACAGAAACTAGAACACGCTACGACTGTGAAGAGTCATGTTAAACTGTCACACAAGGCAAGTCTCAGAAACATATGGTTACGAGAATCAAGAATCTACAAGTCCTTAAGCCTCTCCTCAGAACATTTCATACTTACCCAAACACATGGGGGTGGGGGGAATGGAAATATTTGACAAGTACTACATCGCTTAAAGTTTATAAAGCATCAAAAAAGGCGTTTTTTTTTTCTCTCAAGAGTCAAATCAGTTTTGTACTTACAGGAGAGGAGGGCTCAACTGATGGATGAGGACTGCTTAGCCACCCCGACCCTACAACATCATCTACGTTCTTATACTGGATAAAGACTAACAGAATGGGCACAGCAGAAATACGTTTCTTTTTTTTTTGCAATGTTTTTATATTAAAAAAACATTCTTTAAAAAACAAATTTATACATGTGAGTTAGTTCACAACTGGAGAAATGGGCAAGACAAACGTTTCAATGCATTTTCGATACAATTTTACCTGACTGTCCTGGAAAAAGAACAGCACAAGAATATATATATATGTATATATGTTTATAAGAACACTAAAAAATATGCAGCATTTTCTTGCAACCACGTTTTCTGAGGAACATGTTAAGAAAAACACTTGCTTACCGCTTTTCTAAACTCGCCTGTGGAGGAGGAAGTGTCTATCAAGGCAAAATACAGAGCATACTACCTCAACAATGTCAAACCAGGCAAAGATTTTAAAAAACAACAAGAGTGCCACAGCAACGCAGGTAATGCATGAGTTCACGATACACAGATACCAGTCAACTTTCTAATGACAAACAGGAAGTGTAAAATTAAAATAGTCTATCAACAAGAGGACGTTTGTTGGTCTGAACCACTCGGGATCATTGCACGCACATAATGTATCTAAGAGCCTTATAGACAGTTGGAGAGAGACAGGACAGCACAACTGGAGTCGACCATTTTGAACAATGAAACCCACACTTGGCCTGCGTTTAAACTTCAACCCCCCCCACCCCCGCTCAGGTAAAACAACATACAGAAATTGATGTCAACCCACCCTTCTGGTTTTTAAACCACCCCAACTTACCAACACAGGAGGTTTCAGTTTGTTTTATTGCAAAAACACAACAGGCAATAGCATTTTTAAAACTGAGATGATTTACAAGGTAATGTCAACAGTTCAATAAACAGGATTTCTAACCACATTTAATGTAGATACAGGACTGGAATGACCATATGTATAATTAACTCACTAAAAACAAAGCATTTACAAGAAAAAATAAACAAAAACAAAAGAAAGAGGACATGTTCGCCGGGAAATCTGCCATTTGTGAGAAAGACTTTGAAACCAAGGAAATTTAAGATCTTCATCAAGGCGTCTGCATCCAAACATTTAACAAAGGATTTTGTTTCGACAATGTAGCATTTACTTTATGTCCACTTCACATTACTGGCCCTGTGCAGAAGAAATACATAGAAGATACATTGCATGTTAACAGCAGAAACAGTGGACTCAGCTTCCCAAAAATAAATAGTTATAACCTAGGAAGGAAATGGTTGGTTAAGTTTGTGCAAGTGCTGCAGCCACCGGATCCCTGTAAAGACCTGAGGGAGGAAGGGGTTACGGCACCAAACTATTCAGTATACATGAATGTGGAGGGCAGATTCTTATCGGGGGTGTACCTGAGGGGCTTGTGGTGCTGCACCCATCGCCTGAGGGCTGGTTGTACCATAGTATGCAGCCTGCTGCCGGTAGTACTCCGCCCAGGCAGCGCTGTAGTCAGGCTGGCCTCCAGGCTGGGAGGCTGCCGCTGCTGCAGTGGCCTGAGGGGCCGCTTGACCTGGAGGGTCCAAGAAGAGAAACCACGTGTGAATGAAGTTTTTTTTTTTTTTCTCACATTACATGCATGTATGCAGCATCTGTTCTAAGATCTCAAGAGCAGAGCAGTTGAACCAGATTTAGAGGCTGATTGATGCTTCTGCGTCGAAGCTCAGACACACGGCAAAGCATTCATAGTTGTGTGTACGCTGCAATTACACCGTTGAAATGCAACTAAGTTGCAGCCACTAGTTGATTAGAAAAATCTAGTATTCTACCAGTTTATCAATATTATGTAATTTTTCAACTGGTTCCAGCTTCACAATTGTGAGAATACTTTCTTTGTCACATTCCAAGAGGAGTTGAACATGTAAGAAGGGGAACGAACCCAACACCGACATCTCTCGCTGGTGAGTCAGATACCTTCATGCTTTTTCTAGGGTGGCTGGGAGAGCAGCAACTCCACTACAGAGAGCTGCTGGAGGAACGCAGCCACCCTTTAACATCAACAGCCCCAGGCAGAGGTCAGGATAATTATGGGGTCAGCTGATTATTAGGTACTGATGGGACATTTTTAAACCATTGAATTCTATGGTCAATAGCAGAACTGACACAGGGACGAACATCACTGTTCCTGACTAAGCAGCAGAAAATGGACATATGGATCGATATCTGATTATGGTCTGGGTAGTGGCCATTTTCTTGGCGTAGAAATTCAGCCACCAGAAAAGGACAACACTAAATTAATTAGGTGTGATCGTGACCTACAGTCCAACTTCCCTAACAGGAATATTCACCTTGTTTCTTGTAATATTCCTCCCAGGCTTTCGTGTAGTCCTGAGGTTGTTGGCTCTGTTGACCTGCAAAGACAAGTGAGGAATGAGACAAAGTATCCAAGTGTTATTATAAAAGAAAAAGAAACCTACAAATCAAACATTTTAATCTACACACATTCAGTAGCAGTAACACATTCATGCAACATTAGAATAGTTTGCCATCAGTGTGGATAAAGCCCTAGGATGGTCTAGAATATAAGCTACTCTAAGCTCATAAGGTGGTTCTGTGTCGACAGCTCAGTCCTGTAGATAGACAAAGTGTTGCAGTCTAAACAGCACAGGCGACAAATGTCAAACCAGGTGGAGGCACACTGAAAACGCTCCACAGCAGGCCAGCGATACCGAAAAATACCCAGACCTGAAAAAGAAGCTGACGGAATGCCCTGTGACTGTTTAGACTGTCTTGTGTCAGTAGGTGTACACTGAAACTACGATCATATACCAGTTTTCTTGTAATATTCCTCCCAGGCCTTGGAGTAATCTGCCTGTCCACTCTGACCTGCAGCCTGTGGGTCACCTGTTAAAAAAAACGGTACTTGTAATTCAGTCAATCACTCGCAGTGGTTTGTCCTCCACCTGCCTGGGTCGGGCTGTCAGAGGAAAACTTTTCCTGTCCCTGGGGTAATATAAAAAAAGTTTTATATATTAAAAAAAAAATTGTGCTTTAAAGGTGAAACCAAACCAACTGTCTCCTGTTAGAGGCACGAGGAAGACAAGAGGACACTACTGAAATAAAGCTAATAAACTACACTGATCTACGCTTGTCTGTAACAGTTTCTGCTTCCTCTAGAAGCACTGATGCTTGGCAAACAGTGGACAAAAATGTGTTACCTTGGCCGTTGGTTTGAGTCGTGCCGGGAGCGCCACTTGTTGGGGTCATGGGAGCTTGTGGCTGTTGGCCGCACTGAGCGTAGTAGGCTGCCCACGCTGCTGCATTAGCATCAGCTGCTGCTTTATCTGGTTACAACACATAGGACCAAACATTGAGTTCTAACTGTCCTTTTTATAATCTATCACCAGGGTCTCTGCTTTCTTCTTTGGGAAAAGGGAATTTCTTGCTTTTAAGCCTTTATATATAAACTTCACAAGCTGAGGACGGGAAACTAAAAACGGACTAAGGGAAAAGTTTTCTGCTTTAACTGACAGTCATGAAGGACCTTTTGATTTCCCTCAACAATCAACTACAAACAGGTACTCACTTGGATCAGGTTGTCCCTGCTGCCAGTGTGGGTAGCCATTGCCCCATCCCTGAGGCTGGTAAGGTGCAGGAGGACCACTGATGAAAAGAAATAATTAATTATACATTTTGCACATCCTTCACCCCCCCTGCCTCAACGTTATCATCTCAGAACTTTGAATAGGATGAAAATCAAACACAGGGGTTAACTGTACTTACTGTGGCCCCGGAGGTCCCTGGTTATATGGTCCAGGGTTGTACGGACCCATGGGAGCCCCGGGAGGTCCAGGTGGTCCAGGAAGACCATGCGGGCCTGGGCCTCCATGTGGACCAGGGGGACCATGTGGGCCGCCCATTGGTGTGACTGGTCCCTGAAAACACAAAGTCATCTAGTAAGTAACACTTACAAATGTCACTCAAAGAGGTTTTTTTAACAAAAGCACCCAGTATCACACCCCAATTTTCTCCTCCACAAGCTGCCTGGCGTAGTCAATCTGCTGAGGGGAGCCTCTGACTGTGAACATTTTGATGTTGGGATCAGCGTTGGGTGGAGGATTCCTCTGTAGCTCAATCCTGGCTCCAGACTGCTGGCTGATGCCCTTGATTGTCTCACCACCTGGAAGAGATTGGATATAACATTAATTACAGGAAAAGTATTTGCCTGACTTTGTTTCCAAGAAGTTATTAAAAGATTTTAGTTATTACACTTAATCCCCAGATCCTGTAGGCTATAGTTTCAGTGCTACAACAAACCCCACCACGTACCCTTTCCAATGATGAGGCCGGTCTTCATAGTAGGGACGGTGAAGGTAAACTCCTGTAGGCCACCAGGGGGCCCCATGTTCCAGTTGCCCTGCCCACGGCCTCGCCCTCTGCCACCACCATGTCCTGGGGGTCCTCCAGCCTGAACACTCCTCAGCAGGTCAGATATGATCTCAGCTGCGTGTTGAGCCTGGTCAGGAGGACCCATGATCTGTGCTATTCTGTCTGGTGTGCTGCCGTCATCTGAGGTGGAAAACATTGATTAGAGCCCATCGAGATTACATTCTCAAATTATGAAGTTGGGGAAACTTTAAAAAAACACCAATGATTGACATTGGGGTCTAATGTCTCTGCATTTGTTCAGGTCTCAGAACTTAGGGTTGGGTTATACATCAGCTGCTCAGCGTGGTGCATGAGTTTTCATCATTGACCAATTTAACTACATGTAATGAACCTTTTTTTTTTTTTTCCAGTTGTTGGTTCTCAGATCTTTTTGAGACACTCACCTGGTTTAAATTGAATCCTGACGCCTGTGTCATTCTGTATCTTCTTGATCATCTCTCCATTTCTGCCAATAACGATACCCACTGCAAACCGGGGGACAGGGACCTATATGGTGATGGGACACAAAACCAAAACATAAGATGGTGTGGACAACCCAAGGTTAGAAAATAAATTATGTATTAAAAACACTTACATCCAAGCTATCGCCTCCTCCTCCGCCGCCACCACCACCGCCGCCGCCTCCACCAATTCTTGAACCATACTCGCCCCTCTGCTCCCTGAAGCCCTGGTCTCTGATCAGCTCCATGACCATCTCTTTGGCTTGCTGAAGAGAAACAGAATCATAACTTTACACGGCCACTCTTTGTCTTTGACCTGGAGTAGGTGATTGAGATGAATGTCTAAATAGTTGTGTGTTCAGGTCTCAGAACTTAGGGTTGGGTTATACATCAGCTTCTCAGCGTGGTGCATGAGTTCTCATCATTGACCATCCACAGTTTAACAGCAGTGAAATTACCTTTCTCTGTTGTTGTTTCCCTGATCTTTGTGACAAAGCTTACGTACTAATCTGGTAGAAAAAATAAGGCATCTCATCTGAATAATGCAGAGGATTTGTTGCCATTGTGAACAAAACCTCCCGCTTCACTGTGCATGAGTGAAAGACAAACTGCTGGTAAAGTCTGTAGGTACAAGATTTTACCTGCAGGTCATGTCTGAAAACTGCTACAGAGACAATGAATTACGGCAAGGGTCTGCCCACTAGTATTGTGATGAGTGTGTTATTTTATTAAGTGCTGTGAATGCAATGGTCTCGTGGACAATGACCTACCTGAACTTTAAAGGGCTCTCCTGAAATGCGAAGTGGCTTGTCTGCACCGGTGTTTTGGGGTCCATCTTGGATCATGACCATCTTCACTCCGGCTCTTTCCTTCAGATCAAGAGAAACAAAATATATTCAGTAACTGTCTCCAATCGACACATTTTCACTTGTGATCACAGGCCGAACCCTCACCTGAAGGCTTTTGATGGTTTCTCCACCCTTTCCAATGACAAGTCCGGCTTTAGAGGCAGGGACCATGATCTCCTGAACAGTCATTCCCGGACCATCATTGGGGTGGAACGCTGGGGCTGGACGTCCCTTCTCAACAATCTCTGATAGTAGTCTCTTTGCACCCCTGATGGGAGGAAAATAACCATCATGCACTTTCTAGAACTGTTGTAAAGGAACCAACTGAGCCTTTGATAACAATTTTACGCCAAGATTTGCTCCACAAGGGCTGGATACTCACTGGATTGCTTCTGGTGGCCCTGTTAACGTCACCGACCTGTCTGGCATTCCACCGCTGTCTATTACACAGAAGGAGGAGCTGTTTATACAAGCTGTTCATAAACTATTGCATTTGATATCCTAGTATTAGCAACAATACCAAACCTACCAGGGGCAATTTGTATTTTACATCCAGATTCCTGCTGCAGACGTGATATTTGTTCGCCCCCTCTTCCAATAACTAGAAAGGGGGAAGAGTGTTACAACACAATCCAAGTGATAATAAAATTATGTTTTTATTGTTAACCATTTAAATTACAAACTTACTGAAGCCGACCATTCCATCTGGAACCTTGAACTCTTCTGATAATGACCTAACAATGACAAGTGTTAAGATTAGAAATGAACATTAAAATATTATTTTTCACAAGTGTGGGTGGTAAACAATTCAATTCAACCTGTGTCACTTACCTTGGGGCACCACCCATTCCTCCCATTCCTGAAAAGGCTGCAAAAAATACAATACAATACTTTAGCAGTAAAAATGAACCATTAAGGGTGTAAGGCATCCACCAAATGTCCAATTAATGACAATTATCAAGAATTACAGTCATGTGATGAGCCGTTACTACCACCGAGTCATCATTGCTTCACTTACCATCACTTGTAGCCACTTTCTTCGTCTCTGGTTGGTCTGTGACAACACGACACAATAACCAGAATAAGTATCTGTTATTAAACCCTCTATCACACTACTATCAGGGTTTGAAAAAGGCCACCAGTTTCTTCGGTATACTTAGTTTAAGTTGTACAGGCCGACACAACAGCCAATTACCTCTTGACAGTGACAGACCACCAGTTCAATTATGGATAATTAAATGTTTACAGTTTCTATAATTATATGAAAAATCTCCCACACAATGTTTTACATCATTGCTTCTGCATAGAGCACAAAGACTCTCTCATTCCTTCTTACCGTGCTGAAGTGGAAAATAAAATAAGACACTATAGTGGCAGAGTTTCTTAGTATCTGACTAGATGTGTGTGTTCAGGTCTCAGAACTTAGGGTTGGGTTTTACATCAGCTTCTCAGCGTGGTGCATGAGTTCTCATCATTGACCATCCACATTTAACTGCTTTGAAATAACCCCTGTCTTGGGTCATGGTTGTTTCCCTGATCTTTGTGACAAAGCTTACTTACTAACCTGGTATAAAGAATTAACCTTGACCTCTGTGTAATTGTTTAGCCCCAATATTTCAGGACATTACCAGATTCCATTCATTACAGACAACATTCTCGTTGAATGGAGCGTAACTAGGTGTAACTAGGGCCTTTAAAGAAGTGCTGTATAATGGCTGCTTGCATAATGCATTTTGAGTAGAACAAGAACGAATTAGCGTTTGAATAGGCCAGTGTAGCCTGCAGGAGTTTCTGTAGACACGTGTACCATGTTCTGCTAAGGAAACGAGGTAAGAGAATGTCTTCTTTCTGTAATCTAACATCTTTATAGCAGAAAATAATTAAATGTGGCATAGATCAGCTAGAAGTGAATAAATGCTTCCTTGTATGGCTCATAGACGTGGCAGTGGCTACATGTGCTTTCTTGCCAATACCTGATGTGTAGTGAAAAATGGTTTGGCCAAAATAATGAAATGTATATTTAAAAATGGCCAGTAGTTACCCCCCACCACCACAGTGCCTTGACCCAAGAAACCATTAGAAAACCCTGCATTACCAGTTCCATCGTGTACCCAAAACTTGGAAGTGATACACCACAATGTTTGTATGTTCACATTCTCTTGACGTGAAAGCAGTAATAACAACCATATCTACATTTTTACAGTCAAATTACACATCGATTGGAAGAAGCTGTAAAAACCTCGTGAACACAACCACATGCTATAATCAACACACTGCATCACATCGACCACATGAGAACAAGCTGCTTCAACGTGGTTAGTAGCGATGTTAGCCTCATGGTTTAAAAAGCACATTGATAATTACACAGTATGATCTGATATGAGAGTATAATTTAGTAGCTGCTTTTAAAAAAAACACACACGGGCAGGCACTATCATCTATTAAGACTTGCATTGAATCGATTTGAGCCACTGACCGATATTCAGGTTAGGCATGGGAAAATACCCACCAGCGTCCTCCAGGGGCCTTTTCTGGCCTCCGTAGCCAAACTCATTTGATGGAGGAGCCGCGACGCCGTCGCCACCGATCTTCGCTGCGATCTGAAACAGAGAACGACAGAAAGAAGAACACGTTAGTTCTTCCGTCTTCTCTTTGTCTTGCAGGGTGAAGCAACACGATGCGTGCGGCCTCCATTCCCCCCACGAAGCCTCCACTCACAAAGGGAAACTTTAACTTTTTGCCAGCGAGCTCATGTTGTTATTAATAACAGCGCAGAGATATAATCCCGCCGTTAACTTTGCTCATCTAACTCAGCCAGAGTTCAACGGAAACAGCTCTCCCCGTTTGGCCAATGTGGCGTAACGTGAGTCGTCGGTTTAGCTTAGCCTAGCCTTGCCTGACCCCGTGCGCGACAACAGGAAAAACACGACAAACTTGACATTTATCACAAACTTCGATATGATTTAAGTACGAAAAGATCTTACGGGTCTTCCTACCTGTCGTGCTCGCTGCAGAGCGTCTTTAAAAGCGTCGTTCATCCCGCCACCGGAGTTGGAGGACGGCGGAGCCACGTTGCTGTAGTCAGCCATGTCTTCTTCTGCTGCTCGGCGCGACAAGATGGCGGCTTTCATTCCCGGGATGCGGACGGGATCACTCGTGGTCGCGTGTCAAGTCTCGCGATAGCATTTTTGTTAACGCCTACGGTTCAAATTACATTAAACAGAATTTTAATTTTTATTATTGATCGAGTGATCGTCTTTATTTATCAATGAATCATACTAATACAAACAAAAGACAGACAGACAGTCAATAAAAAATACAACACAAACCTGGATTAAAAACTCTGAAGTTTCCCTTTTTGTGTTTTTTTCACAAATAAACTACATATTTGTCTGAAACTTGTGTTTCAAAAACACATCTTCAACTTACACTGATGATTTAGTCCAGATTCATCAAAGTACAGCAGCAAGCATTTTTCAGTTTCATTTTATTTCTAAGTATATCTACTTGCATTATAAAAACCTAATTACTTTGATAACAACTACAGATGTATGTACTCATATTTGGATTTTTCTGTTGTTGTTCTTGTTGTGCTTTGTTTAGCATCACATTCAGTATTCAGACATGTTACAACAACAAATGTTTCTTATTTAGAAATACACTTTTGCTTTTTTTGCTACAGATTTTGCTTCCCTACCATGAATTTGTTTTTGGCTCGTTACAGAGATAATTAGCCAGAACATACCCACCTCAATTTGTCAAAATGATTTTTAAATATAAGAAGTTTAAATACACCAATATACACAGACCTGTAAGATGCACAGTCAAAGTCAAAACAAAGAAACAAACTCAGGTTGATGATAAAGGAAACAAGCTGTCTGACCCCTGTTATGATATAAAATGTTATTTTTATTATACAGCTCATACTTTCACACCTCATTTACACAGTTCAGTCTGAAATGGACAGTGACTGTAATTTATTATATAACACTCACATTGCAAATTTCAAGTCAAGTTTGCATCCGCACTCTGTAGTTTAGTGTTTTCAGATACTTCATCACGTCTCAGGATCCTAATCAAAGGAAAAACTGTTAACATGACTTAAAAAGCTGCAGAGGCATTAAACGCTGTATCACATTATAATTCATGTCTCGGAGATTTAGTCTTTCACAGTTTTTTCAGAATCCAGTTATTTTTCACTCACTTCCCATTAACACCATTAACAACAGTCCACATTTTTTTGTATCGTCCTCATGTTCCTGATAACGTCCCTGAAACATGTTGTTTAAAATCAAAATCACAGCATGCAAAGAAAACAACATTTCTGCCAAACCTCAGGACTCCATGGAAGAAAACACGTTTTCAAATTTTCTAGTTAAAGTGTAGTTTATCAAGGCACATGGAACCGCCCTGACAAAGCTGGCTCCCATGCCGTTGTAATATCCTCTGAGTCCACGTCTTTCATATATATCAATAAGTCCTTGTAAAATGCCTGAAGCTGGACGTGAATCAGAGCGGAAAGCTGCAAAACAAACAAATGATGATGAGGAAAACATGTTGTCAGATTGATTAGAAAAAGCTCAACCATATTAATCTAAACATAAATGTTACCCTGAGCCTGCTGCTGAGTGCGGATCACTGCCAGTGGGTAACTTGTCATTTGTCCGGAGGCAAAGGCCACGAAACTGAAGAAAAACAGTTTGGAGTCACTGTTGTAGGCTGGATCACTCTTTGCCCAGTTCATAATGGACTGCAACACAAAGAAAACAATGACAGCAGGTTTGTCAAATGAAAACAGGTTTTAATCTTTGAGTTTTTGTTCTGTCTCACCTGGTGAACTGCACACTCCACACCCGCGTAGGGGATCATGCACAGGATGCTGGGTTTGAATCCTCTGTAAAACGAGGACATACGCTCATTTCTGTAAATGGAGCGGGCACAGGCCACCACGCCATGGTAATTTCCAATTTGCTGCAGGTTGAGTCTCACCTTCAACACCTGGAGGGCAGATAGAAGGAGAGAGGTTATTCAACTGAACCTCCACTGACACAATAAACCCAGTGTTTGAAACCAAAGCCTCATTAATGTGACACACTGACATTTCACCTTGTAATAATATATATGTAAATAATGCTCAGCTGTTAAGGGACAGGACAGAAATGTTGAAGCACTCACACCTGCCACTGATCTCTGATACCTCTAAAGGGTAGAAGGCAGCATGAACAACGGCACCGGACACACAGCCCAACCCGAAGCGCTGCTGCACCGTCAGAGTCTCGTGGGTTTGGTTTTGGGTGTACAACTTCATCTGGACAGAGCAGAGAAGCTCTGAGCATGCACAGAAACAAGAGAATGGTTCCTCAATAATTCATACTCGAGAATCTGCCTGCCTGCTACCGTAAGCCTGACCTGGGCGTAGATAAGACACTGTAGGGTCGACTGCGGCGTTCCTTTCAGCACGTTGACAGCGTTGCCCTGCCACATCGACCGCAGACCACCTGCTCTCATCTCCTGGAAGCCTTGGGAGAAGGCCCTGGATCCATGCACCTGTAGAGTGCACAGGAAACAGTCAAGCAGTAAATGTGCAGTGAGAAGCAGAGATATATTGAAGAGCAGTGGATGTAAAACAATCATCCGAGCTCCAATGACTAGTTTTATGAGCCTCAAACTGCATCTTGTGCTCTTTTGTCATCGAATACAAAACATTATAGGTTTGGTTGAAGGGGCTGAAGGTTAGTAAGTGGACCTCTGAACGAATGAAGGCATAAGTACATATAAGTACAATAAATGTTACTGCACTTTGAAATCTAAAAACCTTACTGAAACGTGTTTGAGCTTCATGCTGTGTGAGAAGTTCTGCAGCTCTAGTTGTCGCTTAAGTGATGTTTAAAACAAAAGTCAGAACAGAATCAGCACCATGCACCTGTCCACAGAGCTGACCTGAAGTCGGGTCTTAAGGCGGTCGATGGGCGCCGTCACAGTCCTGGACACAGCATCAGCCAGACCTGCGGACAGAACAAACGTCCTCCAAGCACCAAAACCAGACGCCTCCTCAGGGAATTCAAGAGGCATCGCACGACTCTCCCCGACATCAAAAACCTGCAGACGCACAAATGACGAATCACATTTACCCTCGTTTGTGGTTTTTTGTTTTTTTTAATCATTATGACAGACGCCTGAGCAGCTCTTCTTACCAGCTGGTGTTTCCATGAGGTCACCAGCTCCCCGATGTTGTCCACAGGGTTGAGGATGACGTAGTGCAGGAACTCGCCCCAGTCCACTGTCATGGAACTGTCCTTATCCATCCTGCCATAAACAAACAAACACACACACACACACAGCAAATATTCACTGTGCTACTGACTATGTTTCATCACAAAGTAAATCATCTCCATTTGATAATAGTGTGCAGAGGTCTCTATAGTAAAGGTTGCCAGTACTGTCATTATTAATGAGTGATTGTTACCCAGCAGTAATAAGGAATTATAAATGACACAGAAATTAAAGGCAGGTGTTCCATCTTATCTTCCTACTTTCTTTAATAATGAAGTCTGCAGTTACAAAATAAAGGTTAGGACTGAATCCATACATAGATCTGGCAACCCAAACTTAATCAATTAATAAAATAATAAATGATCGATTACCCACAATGTGAGGGTTCCTTATGTTAAAGTGACACCAGTGAAATGTAAAATGTGCATCACATCAGTGTTGGGAACTCGTCTAATGAGATTATTGTTCTAAAGCATTTGTCCACATGTTAGAAATGAGTCCATGAGGTATGGTTGGCAGAAAAATCTTACATTTGTATTATTTTTTTTGCATTCGGCTTTGAAATGACCACTCCTAACTCCTTAAACAAACATATGACGTCGTCCTGGTCAATCCCCCCTGATCAGAGAAGAAATGCACACAATTACAAACAGACACTGGGACTGTATGTACTGTATGAACTGTATGTACTGTATGAACTTTACAACTGTATGATGGCACATCTCTGGGAAGTGCTTGCACACCACTGAGTGCAAAGGCCAGAGCCTGAAGCTATGTTTAGTGTGGACTGCAGTGTACTATAAACACTTCCTGCGTTAGTGTGGCTTTCTTTCTTGTTTGACCTTGGCAACAGCGAATAATTTAACATTTATAGCAATTAATAAAGACGATGCTCAGCTAGGACAATACATCTTCTACACCAGCTGCAGAGCACATTATATTCTAAACAGCAGAACACAACTGTTGGTGGAATTATTCAAAAACAAACTAATACATATTTGTATTTACTGTGTTTTAAACAAACCCTGTGTTACTTAACAACAATACATTTTTAATGTTTCCTTGAGCAACATGAATATTTTTCTAAGAGGCAAATATAATTACTCACCACACTTGTTCTTGTCAAGGTCATGAAAATAAATTTTCCATTTCTTCTCTCTGTCCATCATGTATCTGAGGAACTCCTTATAATCCAGGAGGCCATCTTTGTCCTTGTCATAAGAATCAATGATATTCTAGGAGGGAAAATGAATGAATGAATAGAATAACCCTGACTCACATAGATACAGTAGGAAAATAAGATCGTGAACATATTACCTTGGCCTTGGCATCTGCTGAGATGATCCCATACTTGCTCATTTCGTTGTGCAGCTCTGCCACTGTTATGAATCCATCTTTGTTTTGGTCCAGTTTGACAAATAACCCACGGAACTGATCCATGGTTGTTTAAGAAAATGGTTGTTTTTAATATTCAGAGCGTAAAAAATGTCAAAAGCAGAATGCAGCGTGTTGTCCTCTGCAGGAGCGATATGAAGCATTGATAATCAGCAGAGGTTATTAACCTGCAGCTCTGCACGGACGCTGACTCATTGGCAGCAACCAGACACGATGCAGCGCTATGAGCTCTGATCATTGGCTCCAAGAGAAAAAACACACTTTCCCTGTGAGGCAGCAGGTGGCGCTGTGGCTGCAGGAGAAGCGACCACAGCCCCATCAGCACTGAGCTATTTGTAGACCTGGTGACAGAGTCTCCACAGACACACAGAGGGTTGGAATAAAGACAATTAATACAATAAATGTATGTAAGTATTCAACTGAGAGAAAAAACATTCACTGTTTAGGTTTTGATGTTTTGAGACAAGTGGCTCACACACACACTCACACACACACACACACACACACACACACACACACACACACACACACACACACATATAGCTCCTGAGTCTGTAAACATCTCAGCTGTCCTTAAACACACCACACAAACCATGACAGTGTGTGTGAGGCCACTT